TCTCTCTCTCTCTCTCTCTCTCTCTCTCTCTCTCTCTCTCTCTCTCTCTTTCTTCTTTTTGCTACCAGGGGTAGAACTGGAGTACTTACGCTTGCGAGGCAAGCTGTGAAACCCTGAGGTAAATCCCAGGCACCAGCTGATTTTAATTTAGTTGAAATCAAAATAACAAAAGTCTAGTTTCTTGATGGCAGAAACTTGACACTAATCCCATTAGTCATTGCTAATTGCCCATAGTACTCTTTCCTTCTGAGGTCAGACTCTTTCCTAACACAGAGTTTCAAGCAGGGATAGCTAAGTCATAAGAAATGGAGCTGAAGATCAAATCCATTTTCTGTCTTCGTTTTTAATGGATCCATCTTAGTAGTGGTGATTATAATTCTTAAAAGTATTCAGAAGCATAGCCATCTCATCTGAAAAATAGCACATAGACAAATGTTCAGATTTCATTTTCACAATACACAAATATCTTGAATAATTGCTCATCTTTCCACTGGAATATCTCAGCTGCAGAAATACAATATTTTTGCATCAGGCAGACATGAATATACACTTTAGCTTTGTAACTTAATGTGTAACACTAGAAAAATTATTCAACACTTTTGAAACTCAGTAAACTTATAGGTAAAATGGAAATAACAATACCTACCTTCCAGAATTTTCGTGAAGATTTAATGCGATATTATGGATAATGAGTTTTCACATTGTCTGGTCATAGCAATAAATTTATGAGCCTTCTATTCAAAAACCTTCCCTGAAAGGAGATTAAGTTCTGTGCATTTAACCTTATAGCAAGAAGCAAAAAAGGATTGATAAAAGAACTTCAAGCTTTAAAGGAAGAAAATCTGAGCTCATTTAATAGCTGACCCAGAGTCCTAGAACTATAAAAATCTAATCACTGGCTTAGATTTGAGTAGCCAAACATACCACTGCTGCACCCTATATGTGACACTATTGTTTGATCACTTTCTTTGACCTGGTTATCTTTGTACCGTACCTGTCTCCTTAAGCAGCACCATGTTATAAGGAAAATCTTCCTCATTCACTGTCTCAACATAAAATAAACTTATTCCAAATTTAGATTTCTTCCAGATCTTTGATCTGCTTAGATTTTCAGTCTGTATGAAATGAGTTCCATCCTCAGCTTTTTACACAAGACATAAAATATAAAGCAGTTAAAAATGACCTAGCATCTCTACTGCATTGATATTTTTTAGCTTTCATCACTGATCTACTTCAAATAGGTTATGTTTGAGGACTTTGAACATCCTGGATATCCTCTGATTTTATAATATGTCTTGAGTCTTAGACGAGATGAATCATCAGGGCCATTACAAAAGTCACATGTAGTTTTCCAGTATTTTCCTGTTTGGTGACAGTCCTTTACACTTACATAATATTTTGTAATATATAAATCACTATCCTTTACACTCAGGTTTTACACTCACAGTAACTCTGTGAGGTACCTAGGGCAAGTTTTTTTTAGCCTTTTGACATATGAAAGAAACAAGAAAGGTTAAATATTGTACTTGAGGTCAAAATGCTAATATACGATAGAGCTGAGAGCAGAAACAAGTTCCACACAAAGATTCAAATTACAAATACATTCTGAGAAATAAAGCACACCCACAGTGCAAATATAGTCCGACAACCAGTAAATATTATTCCATTTTTAGTCCAGAAGAACATAAAAAATCTCCAGAATTCAATTTGTTCTCTTAATCTGAATATGTGTATGCTCTTTCTTTTGTTTATCTCAAGTTAATTGTACACTCTTCTGATTGCAAAGATTTTAATAAAGGTAGGAAAACGTGCATTCTCTGTTGCATTCAGATAGCCATGAAACATTTCAAATTCCTATCAGTAGACATTCTCTGGGATGAGAGGGAACCCTGCCACATTGGACATTGTGCAAGTACTTCACAATCTTTTTTTGTTCTTTTTAAAACTTTTTATAATATGTCACATTAAATGCTGTACACACTAGGCAGTCACTCTACCATGGAATGACAATTTTGTTTTAATTTTATTTTGAGAGAGGGCAGAGGGTTTCACTAAATTGCCCAGGCAGTTTTTGCCCTTATCATTGGGTAAAATAGCTCATGATAATATAATAATATAAGTAAAAATTCCAACTATTTTGAGAGCAAATAATCTCTGACAATTTATATGAACTGATAATCCCATCTAATCTATATGTATATATTTAAGAGATCGATATAAACATGTTTCTCAAACAGAGCTTATTCCTTCTGTGCAAAGATAGTTCACCATCCAAAAATTGGTCAATTAATTTCAATATATTAAAACATTGTGTGCTTATGCACTCCTATAATCCCAGCACTCAGGAGGCTGAGGCAGGAGGAAAGCTGTGAGTTTGAGACCAGCCTGGGCTACATAGTGAGTCCCAGAGCAATCTGAACTACATAGTGAGACCCTGTTAAAAAAAAAAAAACAACTAAAAAAACAAATATATTAAAACATTAAAGGGGCATAGTCTTAAAATATATTAAAATCAATAAAATTAAGCACTCATTTCCCTGGAGAGTTTTAATGGAAGTAAAATGTTGCATCTTAATATGATAGAGGATGTCCATTCCAAGTATAAAGCAAATAGATGTAATGACATAAACTCAGAACATAAGAATATCTACCATTCTGCAATTTGATATTATACATGAAGTTCTACCCAATAGAATAAGATTGAAAAAAACAATTTTAGGTAGAGTGGTTTAAAAAGGGCGCAATGAAAGTTTTCATTAATTGTTGATATCATTTTCTACAGAAGCATCGGAGTCCTCATTATAATTATTAAGACTTTAGCAGATACAATTTTTTCCAGGTTCCTGAATTGGAAGAAATAGCATTATGGAAATGTCCATACTATTCAAAGAAATCTACAGTTTCAATTGAAGTACAGTTCTTTCAAAATGCCAATTGAATAATTCATATGAATTGCAAACTATTTACATATTCACATGAGGCCACCCAAAAATGAAACAGTCTTAGCAGTCTTGTGCAAAAAATTTAGAACTTGAGGGTTTACAGTATCTTCTTTCAAAATATATTTTATAGCTGTAGTAATCAAAACAGATTGATATGATGTAAAAATAGTTACATGAATTGATGGAATAGCAATAAAGAGCCCAGAAATGCATCCAAACATTTTGGTCAACTGATTTTTGATAAAGGTATCAAGAATATGCGATTAGAAAAAGCAGACTTTTAATAAATGGTTTAGGAATTCAAATGTAGAAAACTTGTGGACCCTTATCTCACACCATGGAAAAAATCAACTCTAAATGTTCTGAAGACATGAAGACAACATCTGGAACTGTAAAACTCTTAGAAGAAAATAGGGAAAATCTCTCTAACTCAGTTATGGGCTGCGACTTCTAGGATACAACCACAAAAGCATAGGCAGCAAACACAAAAACAAGTGGGTTTACAACAAATTAAGAAGCTTTTGCACAGCACAGGAAATTATCAACAGAGTGAATAGATATGCAAACTGAAGATCTGATAAGGGATAAATATCAAAAATATAACACAAACAGGGGCGTGAGCTCTCACAAACTCATCAGTGGACTAATCCATTCATGAACATCACTCCGCATGACGCAATCACTACACAAAATCCCCACCTATGCTTTCACAAAGCACTTAGGGGACATCTAGATATAATCTATAACACACACTGTAGACAGGAATGTATGCTTGTGTAGATATGGAAAATAGTATAGACATTACTCAAAAACATAAAACTAGAACTACCATACAATCTAGCAATACTGCTTTTGGTTA